ATGTAACCAAGTACAGTAGAAAAATAGAGAATGGGGAGGGAGGGGGTACCGAAAAATAGTACTGCTTGTACACTTAATAATTATGAATGACCCCTAAGCTACAATGTCCATTGTCCATATGACCACTGTAGTCAGTGATTAATAAGTAATATCTTGGACCAATTGGTAAATACTAGATCTTGTAATATGCCATTAGAGCTTAAATCTGATCACTTAACTCTTCAAACATAGCTTTTATGTAATGTCTACCATGCAATTACAGTATTTCTTTTTAGCATTTTTTTGCATAGAATATTAAAAATTTATTACCTCTTTCTTTAATAATATGCAGGCATTCATATGATGGCAGTCAATGCCCTTTATAATGATCATGACACCAATAAATAAAATAAAAAACGATATTTTTATCAGATTTTTTTTCAAATTGCTTGTAAAATATACGGAAACACATGTGCTTTATTGTGTAAATAAGCAGTGGCTATTGTTACTCCAGTATTAAACCACTTCCTGATTCTGACTGGATGTTACTTGCATGAATTTGATTAGGACATAATTAGGAATTGGCTTTAGAACCGGCATAGCACTACCCACTGTCTTTTAAATTTTACCAATTTAAGACTACAGTATGGGATATATCTTAGTTTGGGTCAAGCTAACACAATAGCCTCTAGGCTGAACAAGACCTCTACCCATGTACCAGCAAGAATATATACCTATAATTGCTGCGAAGCAGCCAATTCATATTCTTGACAGCAATTTGACCTCTGAAAGGTCATTGTTTGTCAAAAAACAAGGGCCTAAGACGACTGAAAAGCGGAGATTCCATCTTTCGTTCTGCCGGGTAAAATCAGTTACTTTAGGCGACGTTTGTAGACTAACCTACACGTACTGACGCTTGAGTATTACTATTCAGCGTTTTCACTATATTTCTAGGTTTCTTATTTCTTCTATGTTTAATCGGCCCATGTCTCAGCTCAGCCACAATATTTTGAGGCCAATATTATTTACGAACCCAGTTAAACTTATTTACTAGCCTATTTCAGCGTGCTAATTATTACATTTATGCGACGCTTGTTGTAGACTGGCATACACGGTACCAATGCTTGTTTTTACTATGTTTCTACGTCAGCTCGTCAGTGTTCTAATAATAGACAATGGGTCGTGTCTCATATTATTTGTTATATTTTTATTATTCATTATTTTCACTTGACTCGCATAAATAATTTTGTTCAAAGAACATTTACATGCAGTTGTACTTTGCAGCACTTCACTTGCAATTTGCAATTTCTAGTAGTACACCATATACTGTACTTAGACACAGTGAACTGTCGAGTAAGTATGACTGGACAGGACAATTTGAGAGACTGAACCAGATGAAGCCACAAGAGTTTCCTTCTTGATTAAGACACGTCTTACATGTGACACGTTTATTCGTGATACTTTGCAAGCATGTGCAATCTGCACACGCACTTGACGGAATCTGGTTTGTGTCTACTTGTATAAAATACTTAGTCATGTGTTATCTGCACTCTTGCATGAATGTCTTCTTTAAGAAGGTACTAAGATATACTGTGGATTATCAGTACTTATTACATTAATATTATTTATTATCACTTCAAAAAATATTTATAAATTGTCAATACAATCATATTTAATATAAATATAACTAAACCATTATTATTATTATTATTATTATTATTACTACTACTATTCAAAACTGTCATTAGAAATTAAATATCAAAATTTAATTTATGCAAATTTAAATAATAATTACAAATCAAAATACTAAAAAAAAAAACAAAAAACCAATAGTATACTACAACTTACCTGGTTGTTTTCCTTGATTTTTTAGCTTTACAATCATCGATTGGAGGAGAGCGTCTCTTTCGTCTTGGAGGCATGATAACGGAGCTAAACAAATTTCTCGCATGCGAAGACGGCACTCTCCTATCTTGACAAGACGACTCTTGCTCAGGACTTATATTCTGTATAGAATTAATATACTATGAATTAACACTCTGCTCCGGGCATAATATTATTTTTTGGCCTACAAGATTTGTAAAATATCCATAATTAAAAGAAATTAAAATGGAAGCTGCAAGTCTAACCTAGACCTATTACTAGGCCTTTAACTACCCCCTTTTTCAACCTTTTATCTCAGTTTTTAAATAATTAAAATCTGTATCCCATTAACAGTTCCCAAGCTATGTGTCTAAGAAAAATCAGTTACTGTAGTACAGCATATAAAAAAATTGTTTTTTCCCGAGCCTGGATTTACTGATTTACAAGACTATCTGGAGGCTACTCTAGAGGTAGAGTTTCCATAGATACATTACCTTTTAATGTCATCTTGTAGTACTACCCAATAATCAATATTTCATGTATCACATACAGAAGCAAAGTATTCAAAATTAAGCGCAGTAGAGAATTACATATTTCCGAACATGATTTGCATACTATTCCTTTTTACAAGATTTTTTTTCTCATTGATATTGATTTCTTTTGTAGTGATTTTCTAGAATGACTCAATAACCAAGATAGTGGAAACACACTGCATTCATTTAATGTTAACAGTACTATTTTAAGAGTTTCAAATTTTGTAAGTTCTCCTAATATAGGTCTCCCAGAATTAATAGCCATTTTGGGGCTGAGGTTTCTATGGTGTTTAGTTGATTTGGTCTCTAATTAGAAGAATAAAGATAAGAGACATATGTTAATATGGGACCACAGAAATGTAGTCTTTAATTGGAGCGGTCTTTAATTAGAGGGATACCTGTATTGTAACATTGTTTCTCTGGGAATGTGATGTTTGGCTGGCCAGATACTTCAGTAGTTTTAAAATTTATATGCTGAACATGGGTTAATGTCTTCTTTCTGTCTTATTTATTTAATTTATTATTTATTTATTTCAGTATAAAATACATACATCCATGGCCGGCAGTTAAAAACTGAAGTGTTTCTGGTTTTTCATGTAGAGGGCCCCTGAATATCAGCCTAGCTGGAAGGGTCACCCTCTATAAAGATGGTTGAAATTTAAAAATAAATAAATAAATCCACTTTTCTATGAATGGGATTGGGCAACAATATTGATTGTGCTGGTTCCAGAGTTTAGAATAAAGATAATAAATATAATTGGTTTACTAATTATTATTATTATTATTGGTCATTATTTTTATTACAATTAAGTAAAAGTACACCCATAATTATATCACATGGTCATATAAAGAATGTAGTGATTGATATAAACAGTTTAAAGTAATTGCGTTTATTTTTACTTTATATAGTTCTTTAGTTGTGAGGAAGAAATAATGATTTATCAGAAGATTTATAGGTGGCCACAGGCATGACACAATTAAAGAAGATATTTACATTGATGACGGTACCCTAAAAAAAAGGCCAAAAATAAAATGAAAAATTTAATCTTTATTAATACTTACTAATTTTGTGAATGATGCTGCTAGTGATTTACTTTGATTTTGTTTTCTAGATCCCTCCACCTTGACTCACAACTTCCCTGACAAAGTTATGGAGTTTTCTGAAAAAGAAGAAAACAACAGTGGCGCATAATATACAGTAATGTATACTGTGAGTCACTCTTAAAGCCACTTGGGCCAGTGGGGCGGCGACAACCAAGTTTACAGGATGTAAACCCAAGACCAAGTCACTGAAAGATGTGACATACAAATGCAAAAACCTGACAAAGAAAAATATAAAAGTTTTCTTTATTTTTATTTAGTGCCCATCACTGCCTTGAAATCTTAAAAAATAAGACGTAAATTTCTTCTTCGAACAAATAAATGATTAAGACATTAATTCCTACTGTAGGGTAACCTAAGAAAGTTTTAAAATACAAAAATACGTTATTTTCACATGTAAAATGAACATAAAACAATTAACTATAATAATGCCTAAATTGATTAAACTGTAATAAAATATTTCAGTCATGAAAAGAGTGATGTAATAAAAGAGATTACACATTCTTATTTCGAACATTGCACTTAATTAAATTTGTAATTAATCATCACTCGTAATGACTTCCTATTGTACTTGTGAATTATTATTATTATTATTAAAATGATGTTAAGAATGATGAAAATTTTCGAAGACCAGACAGAGAAGAACAGGGACAATCACAATAGAAAAAAAAAGAAGAAAGAGAATAAAACATGAAAGAAAAGAAAAAAAGAAAGTGAATAAAACATGAAAGAAAAGAAATGTAAAAAAAAACCATGAGTTTGAGGTTGAATGAAAAAAAAAAGTTCATTTTATTATTTGGTAAGACAAAATTACTGTATGTAAGAAAATGGACTGGTTGGAACAAACCACTTTGTTTATAATGAACATCCAAAACACATTCCGACAAATTTATGGGTCACCCAACTGGGATGTCCATATTAAATCAAATTCTGAAATTGAACCTAATGAATGATCCTGGAGGAAATGAATTGGAATTGAATTGGGATCAAAACCTTGAATTTGGCTGTGAGTTGATCTCTTTCATTTAAATAAACGGTCCAAACCACATGAGCCAAGTAAAGTCAATTTTAAACAGACTGGAATTTATGTCAAAGTCAACAATTTGAACTGGCATTTGTAGATAGAATATATTTAATTTTGTATCTAAATTCTGTACTACATTAATAATAAAGAAATAGATTGAAATTTGTTATTGATTTGTTTGTAATTTATGACTTTTAGGCAGAATATATCAAACAATAAACTGTTTGTTATATAATGTAAACTATATATGCTATCAATTGAAGCATTTAGTTATGTTTCGTTTTGTTTTTTTTTTCAGCCAGAGAATACTGTTTTCTTTCCTTCTTTTTATTGGTGTTTTCATTTGTTATAAGATATTTATTTTATTTTTAAGGGAGGGGAGAGGGGAGAGAACACTAAACTGTACTTAAATGATAAAAAAAACTTGTATTGCTGTACCTTTATGTTCATGAACTTTGGGTGGAAATAAAAAATAAATTGTATGAAATAAAATGAATTATTTGCCTCTTTTGCAATTGGTTTTTAAAAAGTCGTAATAATTTTCATAGCAAACTGACTATCCTTGTATTGCATTATTTTATTTATTATAAATGTATATATGTTTATTTTCTCTCTTCTTAATCTTAAGCAAAAGCACTTTGAGACTTGCAGTTGTGCATAATGCGCTATATTTAGCAGATTTATCATTATTATCGTAAGCAAAAACCTCGAAAAAAAAATTTCAGTAATAGATTTTGAAACCAGTTTTAAAATAAATTGTAATTAATGTTAATGTGTTTTTACAATTGGTGAATTCAATGTCTGACTTCCATGTGAATCACTCTAAATGATAATTCCAGGCATTCAATTTGCCATTGTATTCTCTAATTAATAAATTAGAACAGGTTTTTCATTACCTGTATAATTGAACAATCAATAAAACTGAGAGCATTGCAATTGGATATGCTTCTACAGTACTACAGCATTGAGATTTTGCATCCCCAAAAAATGAAAATCAATGTATAAAAATAAAATACTGTATTTATTAAAATTAAAACTATTTACTGTATTTTTTAAATGCGCTGATGTAACTGCTGCAGCGTTATGGAATACTCCCCCAGGGAGCTTGAGTTTGTGTTTCATGGGCGTTTAATCCAATGACCTGGGTATTGATATCATGGGGTGCACAGAGAGCTTAACAATATGTGCTACTGTATATAAGTCTACCATTATTATTATTTATTTATTTATTGTGGAGAAGTGTTTTTGTAGGGGTGTTTACTTGAGGGAAGCATTTATTCCAGTGTAAAATGGATACATGCTCAAATAATCGCCCCCTAATTTCACTGTACAGGGGTAAGTATAAACTACAACATATCATTACTGTCAAAATGCGCTTCGGCGTGATCACAAAGATTATTGATCCAAACCAGGTTACAAAAAAAAAAAAATGTAATTGTACTGGAGAAGAACATTAAAAGAATGTGTTGATAATGATGTTGCTTTCATTAGTTTTGTTTACAAACATTGAGGTGGGAGGGAGGGGAGGGAAGTTTATTTGAGGGAAAAAAACTAAATGCATGGGGTGTTTAATCAAGGGGGAATTTATTTCGAATGGGACTCGGAAGAGGGCATTTATTTAATATGCGGGTTTATTCAATAAAGTGTATCTTATCTTATCTTATTCAAAGCGTTTATCACACTTTCCAGCTTTGTTATTTCATACAGATTCAATACATCAGTGGAGACTTAAAAATCCAATTAAACCGTTAAAATATTTAACATAATTGAATAAGGATATAAAGTAACAATTTAAAATAATAAATTATCATTATTATCATGAATATTTTTTATTAACATGATACATTATCATTTAAATTGCATATATAATGGATGGTAATTTAGACATTTCTGGGATACATATCAACTGTCTATTTAATGTCGATGTCTTCATACCCCTAAAGCTGAAATTCTGTAGCTTTCATGCGTACGTAATATATTAAACCTGCTGCTGTACGAGAACAGCCTAAAAGAATGATAAGGCCACATGTTGTTTCATCAGCAGACGAAATCGATCAAATAACTTTTTCTGATTTGGTAATTACCTCATTTAAAATGTACATTACTAATTAAGATTTCTGGTAAATTTTTGTATAGACTTAATCTATATCTATTCCTGATGATGCTATTGCAGAATAAAATAAAATGGGCTTTTTTTGTGTGATCTTTATTCCAATCAATTAAATCATTATATATTTATTTGGCAATCAAATTTAGACAAATCAAAACCAAAGAACAGATTATAGATGCCTAGGAAGAATGCTTTAATTAACACCAGAATACATATTTATAAGCAAAAAAATTATCATGCTGTACAGACATACTTCTGTGGTTCAGGCTGCAAGGAATATTACTGAATTTCTGATTATTATAAGGTCTGAATTTCCTTCCAAATATACTACCCACTAATTCAGTGAACATCATGTTTACCATGTGCAGCAGGTGTAGGCCTACAATACAAAGGATTAAATCATTAAGTAGATTAGCAAATGAAAGTATACAGATAAAGCCAAACAATGGAATTTGCATTAAAATGACAGTAACAAGCTTTTTATGGATGATATAGATAATGTTTTGCATTGGAGATAGGCCTACATAAAAAAAAATATTAAAAAATTATGTAGCCTTAGATAAGATAGTATAATACATTTCGACATTAATTATGTTATCATCAGGAATGTAGCCTAACCTTATGACATAGCCTTAGGCATACGTTAATGTAAGATTTAGTCAGAAACTAGCCTTTACTTTATGAATTTATAGACAAATATGTGCAGACACTACTTTTCATTCTAGCATAGGTAAAAAGAAATATACACTTAATAGTTATAAAATATTTTTAAAAAATTATTAACTATACAGTAAATCTGTAAAATATACAGAAGTTGAATTAAAAATAAAAAAATAAATCATTCCCCTAGCTAGGCCAGTAATATTTGACATTAGGCCCTAGGGATTATTATTATTATTCTTGGTATTTATTCAATAAAAAAAATTATATAATGTACATAAAATTGTTACTGATAGTGTCAGCACAAGCTGAAGAATTGCAAAGAATGTTATTGTAAAAACGTGCACATTTATATAAATTATGGTAGACACAAACTGTTACCATAATCCTATCACCTACTTTCAAAGGCAGTTTGAACTCCAATCGTTTGTTGCTACTCTTTAGCTAGCTCAATGATGTCATCAAGCTAAACCCAACTGCAGACGTCTAGCCTAGCTAGGCTTCTGAATACGTACATTGCCATGCTACGCGAGAACAAGCCGAATTAGCTGAGCTAGCCTCTCTAGACTAGGAGGAAAGTAAACACCGGTTCAGTTTATAAACTGATATCGATACAATTACAACGAAAAAAGCTGACTATAAAAACTTTAAACCAAAAAAAGTTAAGTTATTTACAGAAAAACACTTTTTCATACTCTCATACCCCAGTATGAAGCCGGGATCACAGTGTCAAAAGACGGTTCCTCCCCCAAACACTGCTACGTACAATCCACTGACAGTGTGGTGTGTCGTTTCTTTCATTCGACAGACGAAGCTGAGTCAATAACCGAGTCATGATTATCTGAACTCCAACGAGCCATAACTTGATACTCCTTACACCAATAATGAATCTAACTCGTCAGACAACACCTTAATTTATATAAACTTAAACTTACATATATTTTGACGTACAAAACAGGTTACAGAATGTTTTTCACAGGCTTTTTCTCAACAGAGACATCTCAACATTCATTCATTTCCCGACCGTCGGTCTATCAACATGACTTCTGCGACTGCGCAAATATATTACATGCCGCAATAGATATGTTGCAAATTCTTATTCGTTGAAGCTTTAGATTAAGTAGTTTAATCCAATCAACATGCTCGTTTCATACAGTCGTCTAATTTTATCTCGACATTCCTATTTTCCGACGATGGAGAGAAGGGCGAAAGTTGATATGATGACCATTTAATGATAAGGTTGTTTAGTTATTTTTCAGTTTTGAATTTCATTCATTTGGTAGGAAAAGTAAAGCATCTAATTTTCAATAATATGCTATGTTACACACAATGGTGTTTTCTTTGTCGAATTCGATAATTAGGTTAGGAATTATCTTACATAGAAACCAGACGCCTTGGTCTTGACAACCACTACTCATACATACATACTGCGGCCGCCGATCGTCGGTTGCTGCACCACCAGCATGACCTCTCTTGTGCCTAGCCTAGGCTAAGGGCCTAGGCTAGTCCATGACTTAGTGTAAGATATAAGGATCTACTGTATTTCTGGAGCCTCTAGACAAGGAGGCCCCCGAGTAGACTACTTTATCCATAAAATTCTAGCCAGTTTGTAGGTTATCTACAATTCAACCTTAATACCTTCTCTTTTGTTGACCAAAAACTAAGGAAGGCCTAGGGGCCTAGGCTGGGGGGGGGGCTAGGCCTAAATAAATTAGCGTAAAGGCACAACAAAGGCTAGGGCCGCCTAGGTAGGCCTATTTATGTCTGTTTTGTGGCACTCTGTGGGTGCTAATACGGTTTCGCATCCGGCCGTAAAATTAATTACTAATTATTTAACACAATTATTCAATACTAATAATAATACATTCCTTGATGATTTGACTTTCCAATAATCCACTTATTATCCAATAATTATGGTTTCTAATTAAGTTAATAACCATTAATTAAGAACGTCTTCCAGTGCACTATTTTCATACCCGGCTTGTAGTACATGTCAACAACTTTGCGGTGTTGCCAGAATCTGGGCAAAATTATACCGTGGTTGCCAGGTGTGTGCTGAGTTAAGCCTGCCTAGTGGAAATACTAATAGTATGAATGTCACTCAAAATGTTATTCTACTTTTCGCTTTTATATTATCTTCATCAAGAAAAAAACATACTACAAAGAGATGAACTACAAAACAATACAAGTTTCCAGAAATTCTAATGCAGTGCAATAATTAGTCACAAAAATTACAATTGGGTACAAGTTATATGACAGACGCTGGAAACCTCGACAGTCGTTGACTATGGTGCAACAGAGCAGAGTTGATTGTGTTGAGCGATCGGGTGTTACTATTGATATACATTACTGTCCCAATTATTGGTTTATTAACTTAATTAGAAACCATAATTGTGGAATAGATGCGATACTGTATTAGCGGTTCCTATGTGTGTTAAAAAAGGTAAAATAGGTAAAACATACAGTATGTTTTACCTATTTTACCTCTACACTTGGTTGTAACATCGGCATCTGATAAAAATTGTTTTCCTATAGGATTTTGAGAAGTCTGGACTACTACTAAACCACTGCAACCGATGCCACAATGCGGTCAGGAGACTCAAGGAAGGATTTTATCCTCACCACATGTGGAAACTATTTCTCAATAGATGTCTCAAGCCCAGAACTTACCGGCCTTCATGGTACAGTTGAAATTAATTCATTTCTGGACGATGGAAATGTTCCAGTGCTCGCAGCGAAGATAAAACAAAGAGCAGGAGATAAAGCTGTTCAACTCTCCAATAAAGTATGTATTTCAATATTTCAACATTCAAAATGGACATCATATGTGACAAAGACAAGCCAAACCAGTCGCTCGTCGCAAAAATCGATTTTGAGTTATTAATACAGGGTTAAAGAGTAAAATAATAGCTATAAAATGGTTAAAAAAATCATTCAAATCCGACATTTCCTTATGAAGTTACAAGCCTTTAAGCATACAGCTGCTTAAAGAACAATATATGAGAAATCAGCCTTCAAATTTTATGATTTCAGGCATTTCTCATGCAGAAACTATCATAAAATCTTTAAAAAGTGTTGTTTTAACATTGAAATTGGGAAAAATAATAGCACAGCATGATGTATAGATACATAAACCTCAGTTTGGTGAAATAAAATAGATTTTTTAAAATTTTACATTCTGGCATGTTTTTGCTATTGTCTCTGAAACACAATCGAGTGACTGGTTTGGCTTGTCTTTGCCACATATTTATATTATAACAATCAAAGGCAATACTTCACGAAAAAGTTTGTTATCCTATGTAATTAAGTTTCTTTAATTACATTAAATAAAACACCAATAAGATAAGAAATCAATATCAATAGAAAAATAATTCTTACATGTTTTGGCTCAATTCTTGGATCATTTTCTAAAGATTTATTGAGATACACATTAGATACAAATAAACAAGAGTCTGGTGTTGCTAAACAGCAGGTGTTCACACCTCACAAACTAGACAAAAAGATTTCCTTTTTAGAATAATTGTTTATTCATCCTCCATCATGGAGGAAAATAAGTTTTGACTCCATGGTCTAAATACACCAGGCAGTTCTGAAAGCTCTGTGAATATACTTAAGATGAAGCTTTGGATAAATTTAACCTTGACATATGTCAGTGTATGTAGTCATGTATTACCGACATTAATAATATTAGTAATTTATTTTTATTCCTAATTTCAAAATATTTTGGCCTGTTGAATGGAATATTCTATTATTATTATTCCCTAATTTTAAAATATGGATCTTTTTACTGTGAAGGTGGAGAACTAGGCAGATTTGTGCAGCGTAAACTATGTGGCCATGACATCTGGCGGGACCCATTCTACCGTGTCCGCGAAGCTCTACAGAGGGCGATCTCTATTTGCGACAAGTGGATCCTATTGTGTGAGAAGTTGACAGGTCAGATCTGGAGGACTGACCCCATGAACCCGTGGAAGGGTGAGAAGTTCAGTCCAGAGGGCCTGTCTCAACTGTCAGCTAGGCTACAGGAGGTTAGTTGATTTAGTAAAAAATACAATATAAAGTAAATATTAAATAAAATGATAATAAATGAAAGTGTATATTGAATAAAATTACACAGGAAGATGAATGCTTTTTTTCTGGTAGAAAATGACATAGCTCTGTCATGAAATGGTTTGGAGCAGAGAATATAATGACATTATTTTTATATATAAAATATCAATTAATCAAATAATATGACCATTTCATTGTATGATTTGCTTTTATTTAAGGATCATCAGGAATAATGCATAATATAAAAAGACAAACTGTATATAGTCACCAGAAGTCACCAGCAATCTAATTAATATGTATATTTTTAAATGAGGCACTATCCAATCAGAGAAGAGTAGTTATCAGGCCTTGAAAGTATTGAGAATAAACAATTCTAAGAAAAAGAATAACAAATGTAGATTATTAAATTTATCGATCAACTTAAAACTACATATTTATTTATTTTATATTTGTTTCTTTGTGCCTAAAGGTCATGACCTTGCGAAGCATCCATGAACAACTGATCAGGCTACTATCAGCTGGAGAGCAACAAGAGCTGAGGACCGGTGATGCATTCAGCCCATTTGCTGGCCTCAACCCTTTGCAGTATAATCCATACACTCAGCCCCTATGGAGGGCTGCCGTGTCTCAGTATGAACGAGGTATGTAGCTCCATGTGTATGTATGTGTCTGGGTTATTTTTTGTTAAGTTTGGTCTACACTATCAAGGTTTATGTCATAAATCTGTGTGATTTGCCCATAATGATGTCATATCACATACATATATGGGCAAGAAGATGTTAATATTACACTTATATAATGGCAAATCACAGGTATTTGTCACTCAAAATTTGATAGTGAGGAAATGCTTTAGAAAAATGGATAGCTACTTTTATAAGAGAGTAATCAACAAATTCTTAACTCAATAAAAAAAATTTGAGAGCAGCTTAGCTTAGTCTGCTACACTGGTTGTAGCCACTGTTTGTGCACTGAACCGTGACGATATCTTTATCCCCGGTTCAATAATTCCCATCACTGCTCTTCTTGTATTTAAGCTGGAGGGCTGAAATGCAATTTACAATAGCGCACCGTAGTTTTGATGGGACGTTTAGGCCATTGGTCCCATGTGCATTATGGCCCATGTTCGTTAAAGAACGCAGTACACTCTTTGGAAAAGAGTAGGGGTTTGTCTCCTAGTGTACTGCTCAATCACCACCGGAAAGGACCCCACTTTAGACTTTCATGGGGTTTTTTGGGGTTTTTACACCAGATAAATCCATCGATCCATCCAACAAATGCTTACTTGGCTGCGTACTTGGATATTTATGGAATATCTGTCTGTTTTTTTGTTATCACAGCTATGGGGCCAGCAGAACAGAGAATTGCAGGAAAATTAAGAGCTCAGTTTCGCAACTTGAGCAAGAACTCGCACCAGTTACTGCGGGAGTTCCAGCGTTATAAGGAACTCATCAAAAGAGACAGTGTCAAAAAAGAGTTGGTATCAGAAAGGTAATAAACTTTTTTCATTACACCTGAAAAACTGTGGTAGTCAAGGAAGTTTGCATCAAAATAGTTGGGTATAAAAATGACAAATACTCTTTCACAATTCACTCTGTAAGTAAACTTTCTGATATAAGATTACCATACAAAATACAGATATATCAGGGCTAGAAATTTACTTTTTTAGCCACTAGCAACCTATTGCTAAAATGTGCTAGTTTTTAAAAATGTAACTAGCAAAATGAGCTGCTCAACTAGTAAAATATATTGATACCAACTCACCATATTATTTTCGGAAAATAAATTGTATGAAAATAACTAATGATGTACTTCTATAAATTTGTGTGTTAAATGTTTTAATATAATAATTTCTGTTATGGTGAGTGTATTACAATAAATATCACAAAGAAATAGCCAAAATGAGTATAAAAAAATCGATTTCTATACCTTGTACATTTATTCACTTGAGTGTCAGAACATTTTCAAAATAAAATAAAAAATCAGATACAAAATAAAATAAAAAATCAGATACAAAATAAAAATTTAATATATATACTTAATTTATTTTTTAAAAATAAGTTAAGTTTATCATTCATTTAATTTTTATTTTGTATCTGTGATTTTGTTTTCATATTAAATATGTACTGCTTATTGGAATTTTTCAAAATAATATATTTATAAACAATAAAATTTATTTTATATTAATTTTATATCATATTATTTTGAAAATTAAAAAAAAAATATACTTGTTTAGTGTCACACCCTCAGAAATGTTCAGGGGCGGGAGGGGGAAGTTTTTTTTTGCCAGACTAGCCTAGGCCTAGCTAGTAGGCAGGCTTAGCTAGGGGCTGGCCTAGAGATTTCAAAAACTAAATTGGTAGCAAGCCAAATCTTTGACAGAAAAAGGCCATAACAGAAACTCAATTTTACATAAAAGATTTGTTTGTTCAATATTTATTTTTGATAGGCCTTGGTCTTTTAAAGCTGGGGCTAGACGTTTTGTAGGCGGCCACTGGTGCAGTAGTAGGCCTAGCCTAGGCCTAGGTTAGGAGGTCTACTAGGCCTAGCCAGACTAGGCTCTAGTAGGCTAGGCCTAAAACATCTGCCAATTGAAGCCTAGGTTGTAACCTATTATTTGTCTTGGCTTCATAGTAAATTATTATTATCATATGATATCTGAAACATTGTTTATTATCTAAAAAGAACCAAATTAAATATGTTCGCCTTTACTACCGATCGTATCGCCCGTGAATTCCATCAACAAACACATGTGAGGAAAGTGATTTTTTTCTGCACACTGCTTAATTACCTTAGCTTGTTGCAAGGTTTAAAATAATTAATGTTGGTGGCGCACTTCACATCATGTTCCTAGTGCTCAAGATGAAAAAAAAACCAATAGCGCACCGTAGTTTTGATGGGACGTTTAGGCCATTGGTCCCATGTGCATTATGGCCCATGTTCGTTAAAGAACGCAGTACACTCTCTGGAAAAGAGTAGGGGTTTGTCTCCTAGTGTACTGCTCAATCACCACCGGAAAGGACCCCACTTTAGACTTTCATGGGGTTTTTTGGGGTTTTTACACCAGATAAATCCATCGATCCATCCAACAAATGCTTACTTGGGTGCGTACTTAGATATTTATGGAATATCTGTCTGTTTTTTTGTTATCACAGCTATGGGGCCAGCAGAACAGAGAATTGCAGGAAAATTAAGAGCTCAGTTTCGCAACTTGAGCAAGAACTCGCACCAGTTACTGCGGGAGTTCCAGCGTTATAAGGAACTCATCAAAAGAGACAGTGTCAAAAAAGAGTTGGTATCAGAAAGGTAATAAACTATACATTAACTGTTTTCATTACACTTGAAAAACTGTGGTAGTCAAGGAGGTTTGCATCAAAATAGTTGGGTAAAGAAGTGACAAATACTCTTTCACAATTCACTCTGTAAGTAAACTTTCTGATATAAGATTACCATACAAAATACAGAATGATGCTGTAAATATTTTCTTCACAGTATATCAATTTTATATCGTTTAAGTTAATTATTTAATTCATCAATGACAATTAAATATGTATCTTGAGAATACCTCTATATCCTTATAATTACCAATGTTCCCTAAATGGAACACCCCTTCTAAGGTAATAGAACATTACTCCCAGCATGGTTTATAATTCATCAATATAGTTATAAGTAGCAATACAGTAGCAGATTGCCTCTTGTGATATTTGATTTGCATTTCTACTGAGTTTTGATATATACAGACTGGAGAAAGTATTGAATTGATATCATGATTTTATGGTTTGAGGAGAATTCACAAGCAAAAGAAATTATATTTTGATCTCTCATTATCTTACGCATTACAGAGAAACACTTCTGCAGCAGCTTCAGCAATATATTAAGAACATCAAGGAGGATTTCAACACCAGAGTGAATGAGGGCAAGCCAAAGCTAGGCAAGAATCTGCCAGAGGTTACTAACAACATTGTCTGGGTCAGGCAACTAGAGGCAAAGGTTTGTGTCTGCTCCTCTTTATTCAAGTTGTATTTTGTAGCTTTTAACAGAAAAATATTGGAATAATATAGTTGAAAGTATGTTGCGAGATGGAAAATATTAAAGAACCCAGCAATTAAGTATATATCTTTGTTTTTTTATGTATTACTTATTTCCTTTATGAATTGCTCTATAAGGAATTATGATAAATGGACTTAAGTGTTATTGAACTGATATTGTTAAGTTAAGTGTTATTGAAAAGATAAGATAATTTCTATTGTACAATCAATAAAGTATGTGAAATTTTATTTTCTTTAGATAATAAATACAAGTCAGTCACAAAACATTTTTTAAAGCCAAACAACTACAAAACTAAGCTACAATAGGGTTAAAGAAACATAAAAAAAAATTAATTTTTCAGTAATTTTTATTGTTAATAGTTGTTGTAAATGATATTTTGAAGTTTACGAAAAACTTTTGAGTCAATTAGATCTTTGCGTTTCTCTTTAGGTTGAAGAAACAAGCAACACTGCGGAAGCATTGCTAAATGATCTCTCAGGTTTCAGTCGATTCAGAAAAGATGCGGTGGAACTTCTGGAGGAACTGCACAACTGGCGGCAAGATCAGTTTGATACCTGGTCACAGGATACTCTGGCAGCCATCGAGGACACAAGGAAGCCTCTTGGGTAGGATGATAATGGTCACCATGGTGTTTTGGAGATTGAATATCCCTCCATTTAACGACCATTTTTGGAACCTCACAGGTCTTTAGCAGCTATGATCTACAATTAAAATGATTAAGATAAAAGAAATTTGGAAATTTAGGACCAAAGAAAAGTCTTTAATTGGAGGTGGTCTTTATTTGAAGGGTTCTTTAATTAGAGGAAAACATGTTTAGATAATAAGAGCCTGAACTGTCATATTGTGCATTTGCACTCTGTGAAGGTAATTCTGATGAGTATATTAATGGATGGTTATATGTGATGGAGCATGCATGGTATTATGGGAAGTCAGCCTCAGCATTTGATCAAATTATGTATTATATTGTAAAGGTTTAAATATTATCCACTGCACTGTGGGAAATTAACCAGATTTATACATTGCATTATGGGAAAATTAACATCAGCATTTGATCAAATTATGTATTATATTGTAAAGGTTTAAATATTATGCATTGCACTGTGGGAAATTAACCAGATTTATGCATTGCATTATGGGAAATTAACATCAGTATTTGATCAAATTATGTATTATTTATATTGTAAAGGTTTAAATATTATCCATTGCACTGTGTGAAATTGACAAGATTCATTCATCATTTGTTCATATGGGAACTCGACATCAGCATTTGATTAAATTATGTATTGTAAAGGTTTAAATGTTATGAATTATGTATTGCATTGTGGGAAATTAACCAAATTTATGCATTGCATTATGGGAAATTAACATCAGCATTTGATCAAATCAGGTATCGTATTTTAAAGGTTTAAATATGAATTATGCATTGCATTATGGGAAGTTAACATGTATTATTAATGCATTCCATTGTTAGAAGTAAGGAACAAGGAACATGTGATGAATTATACAGATGATAACTTATCTCTTTTTAAGATTTTATATTTTTTTTGTAGTTTGCAGACAACGGGGCGTTTAATGGACTTTGATACCAAAGACAACAAACTAGTTGTCAATTATGGTGACAAGTTAGTGACTTTGCTACGAGAGGTCCGTCAACTTCAAGGCCTTGGCTTTGCAATACCAGCGAAGATTCAGCACACAGCGAATGTTGCACAGAAGTTTTATCGTCATGGGGTCATTCTGAAACAGGTATGCAAATTATACACTATAAAATATTAATAATAATCATAATAATAATAATATGTTAGACTTATATAGTGCTTGATGCCAACAAGGCCTCTAACCGCTTCACATTATTACCCCCGGTCACTGGATCAACCGCATATGGAACACATACTCAGTTCCCTGGGGAGAGTTCCATAATGTTGCAGCTAGTAATCAGTGCATTTTGTGTTTGAACCTACCAGGTACCCACTTGTACACCTGGGTGGAGAGAGGCAACTGTAGGTAAAGTGCCTTGACTAAGAACACAAGCAAAATGCGCAAAAAAGAAATTGAACCTTTGACCTCAAGTTTGAGAAGGAGAATCGCAACTGTTGTGCCAAAAGTGCTCCTACCTAATAATATAATTTTTTTTAAATATAATTTACTGTCGCAGTGAACTTTATATCCATTCTAGACAGCAGTTCATATATTTATTTTATTGTTAATCTTATTATCACAACACAGAGAATATGTTTTTTTATGTTTGCAAATAAATTTATTTAAAGATGCTTTTTGAGGAGTTTCAAAATGTGCATCCAGATCTAAGAAATATGAAATACTTATTTAATGTATTATATATATATATAATTTTTTTTTATTGATTATATCCAATGTATTTAGCAGTATGTAATGTATCTAATGTGTTGTATAGCAGTACAACAGAAACATGTGACTTACGAATTTGCATATTACAGGTGGCTCATTTCCATAACACAATAGCTGAACAGATGATTCCGAGTCAGCGTCCGATGATGTTGACCTCAGCAATAGCTTTTCAAAACATCATCAAAAACCCAAAGAAAGGCGCGAAGGAATCTGACGGCAAGTTGCAGGTAACTTGGGATAACCCGGAAGAACTGGAAGCCTACATTCAGAAGCTGCAGTCGGCTGCCGAGCGACTGACAACGGAGAACAGACGACTACGGAAGATTCACAACACAATTGCAGAAAAGGTAAATTCTAATCCAATTAGAAGGAACTGTCTTTGATATGTTTAGGGCAAAGTGCTATATCAGATATTATGAATTTATTGTTGTTTGCTATTGCTATTTTTAATGTGATTGTATTTGTAGCTTCACCATAATTAACGCTCTCATAACCATCACCGTGGTTGTTATTATTATGACATTATTCAGAACTTAAGTTTTCCTCTTATTGATATTCAAAAATATGCAAAAATACATATAATGAATATAATGAACAAAACTGACAATAATGATTATGAGTAAATTATTAATTACAGGTTGTATATCTGATGAATGTTGACTTGCTAAGACAGCCATCACGGTGGAAAGAAGGATTGAATGAAATCAGGAACATTATGGCAGATCTACACAGCAAGGTATTTGACAACAGCCAGTCATTCAGTCTGTCATTCAATCAATCAATCAATCAATCAATCAATCAATCAATCATTTAATCATTTAATCAGTCATTTAATCAATCAATCATTCAATTACACATTCAGTTGCTCAATTAATCAGTCAGTCACTCTATCAATCGGTCAATCATATATTATCAATCAATCATTTACAATCTGTCAGTCATCAATCATTCATTTATAAATGAATTGCTAAATCATCAATAGATCAATCAGTTACTCTGTCAATCAATCAGTCTAACAATCCATCAATTTTCCGGTTGGTCAGTTGGATCAGCTTTATCATCACCATTATTATCATCATCTGGTTTTTAATTCAATGTTAGGCGGAACTTTTTTTATTTGGTTTCGCAAACTTACTTTGTTAAGGGTCATCAGAGGAGAACGGAAAGAAATAAAAATAAAATTTTGGTTTTTCATTTAGCAAATAGTTTTGCCAAAAATTGGAAAAAATAAAAAAGTTTTATTGGTTAATGTAAATGTGTAGTAATGAGATTGTTAAATGCCTTAAATTTATATAATTAGGAAAAAACTAGGACGAATACATACCATATTTCTGGTAATTTCAAGGCAGTGGCGGGCATAATAAAAATAAAGAAAAAGTTTTATTTTTTTATGAAATTTTCATTTTTTTTTGTGGCAGAGGGTGCGCTAATTGTCCAAAAATAAACTTTTATTTTTTTTTGAAATCAACATTATTGGCGGCGGCTTCGCTAAACAAGATATAAGCTTAGTTTCGCCTTAAATAACAAAATGTGTGTCTGTGATGTTTGTAGGGCTATAAGTTAGAGGATATGAAAACATGGAAACTGCACTGGGACAGACAGCTGTACAAGGCCTTGGAGCACCAGTATCAAATGGGGCTAGAGGCATTGCATGAGAATCTACCTGAGATCAAGGTAGAGATTATATACAGGTAAATTCTCAAATTATCAAACACACATATTTAAGGAAAAAATGAAAGGAAAGATAAGGAAACTAAGAAAGAAACAGGAAAGATAAGATAAGGAAACATAAGAAAGAAACAGGAAAGAAAAGATAAGGATAGAAACAAAAGGGAAAGCAAAATATAAGGGTAATGAGTTGGAAAGAAAAGTAACATGCTATGAAATGATAAGGTACAGGTAGGCCTATGGAAAGAAACTCTAAGAATGACTGTGTGGGCTGAATTGAATAAATCATTAAAATAACTTATAAACTATTGTAATCATTATTAATAATCATTGAATTAATTGGTAAACTAAACTGGAATAAAATAAACTTGTAAATAAATTGGGTAAAAAATTAATGGTGCTTTTGTATTATTACTATCTTGTTATATATATGATAGTCTGTTAATTTAGTTTTTATTTCCCTTCTCTTATGTTGTTGGTAATTGCCTCGAGGTTGTGATAATGTAAGGTGCTATATAAATCCAGAATTATTATTATTGTTATTATTATTATTATTAATATTATAATTATTATTATTATAATAATAATAATAATAATATTAATAATAATAATAATAATAATTATTATTATTGTTATTGTTATTGTTATTATTATTGTTATTGTTATTATTATTAATAATAATAATAATAATAATAATAATAATTATTATTATTATTATTATTATTAAATCATGGCAGATAGGGGAATAGTGTTTTAGACACTGAGTACATTTATATATTTTCCTATGTCGTCATGCCGTATATAAGTTTGTCGTCTTTTGAATCACATATTTTGTGCGCTTTCCCTAGGCAACAGAAGCTGCAGTTCCGACCGTCGTTGGAAGAGGTCCGTGCAAAGTACTTCCGGGAGATTAAGAAGTTCATCAGCATACCGAACCACTTCAAAGGCCTGAGTGATCCCGGGCAGGTGCTTATCTTTCCCGTCATGATTGAGAGGAATGCAGGCCGATTTCCGATACTGTACCGTAAAGCGGAGGAGTTGTTCCAGAAGCTTGTGGAAGCTCAGCATAGATTCAAGGTAAATTAGGGTGTGAGTCACCAGGTAGGTTATCAGAACAGTAAGCGAAAACTGTTTTATAGCAATGGTCTTAGCAGAGTGACTTTAGTAAGACTGCCTACGTGATAAAGCAGGTTTTACTTGAGGAGTTAAGACAACCAGTTATGACAGTTTTATAGCAATCTGCCCCTGCAACTTCCGTAAACATCGTGTGCATTATAAACTCAGTTTAACACAATTCAATCTTCATATATTCAAAGCCGAAATATTTTTAGTTCTGGTCTCATGCCAATCTTGGCCACTTTAGATATGTTTTCTTTGTTAAGACTTCTACGAATGGATGTCTGGTTGTGGAGCAGGAAAGTTGTCCCTCCCCAGTACCACCTTATTATAAATCGACGAGAAATCAACCGATAGCTATGTCTATATGAAAAAAATTGTTCTTTTGCTGTAGTATCTGTTTCCTTCAATATGCCGTACTTTAAATATATTAATTAATAATACACTTGTACATTACTATCTTGTTTTATATATTATTATTATTACTATTATTATTGTTTTAATATTATAGTCTGTTAATTTAGTTTTTAGTTCCCTTCTCTTATATTGTTGTGAGGTTGTGATAACATGAGGTGCTATTATTGTTGTTATTATTATTATTATTATTATTATTATTATAAGAATAGTATGTATGTTGTATTTATTTTTGTCATCACAATAAATCATGGCAGATAGGGGAATAGGGTATTAGACACTGAGTACGTTTATATATTTTCCTATGTAGTCAGGCCGTATATAAGTTTGTCGTCTTTTGAATCACATAATTTGTGCGCTTTCCCTAGGCAACAGAAGCTGCAGTTCCGACCGTCGTTGGAAGAGGTCCGTGCAAAGTACTTCCGGGAGATTAAGAAGTTCATCAGCATACCGAACCACTTCAAAGGCCTGAGTGATCCCGGGCAGGTGCTTATCTTTCCCGTCATGATTGAGAGGAATGCAGGCCGATTTCCGATACTGTACCGTAAAGCGGAGGAATTGTTCCAGAAGCTTGTGGAAGCTCTGCATAGATTCAAGGTAAATTAGGGTGCGAGTCACCAGGTAGGTTATTAGAACAGTAAGCGAAGACTGTTTTATAGCAATGGTCTTAGCAGAGTGACTTTAGTAAGACTGTCTACGTGATAAAGCAGGTTTTACTTGAGGAGTTAAGACAACCAGTTATGACCGTTTTATATCAATCCGCCCCTGGAACTTTCGTAAACATCGTGTGCATTATAAACTTAGTTTAACACAATTCAATCTTCCTATATTCAAAGCCGAAGTATTTTTAGTTCTGGTCTCATGCCAATCTAGGCCACTTTAGATATGTTTTCTTTGTAAATGCTTCTACAAATGGATGTTTGTTGTGGATCAGGAAATCAAGTTGTCCCTCCCCAGTACCGTCTGATTATCAAATCAACCGATAGCTACGCCTATATCAACAAAAATTGTTCTTTTGCTGTAGTCTCTGTTTCCTTCAATATGCCATACTTTAAATATATTAATTAATTAATCATGATAATTACCATATTCTCCCTTTATTAAGCCCTGGGTTGTGCTTGGATCTGTTGATTTGGATAAATTAGTTGAAGAGCAACTTCACACAGTACCAGACTGGGAGAGGAACTTCAAAGCCCTGAAGGGTAAAGGCAGGGATGCAGAAAAGCTACCAAGGTAAGTAATCATGTCATATATTAGTATTTTGTTTACATTTTGTTTATTTTTTATTTGCTTCTGTATTTTTTTTCATCTCGGCAGCTAAACTATTTTCCACCTTCCATCTTGCCACTGCAATATTTTTTTTGATTTCAACTATCTCCCCACAGCACCATATGGTGCCAGATATGCCAAAACCAGCATAATGGAAGATAATTTGACAATAAAGTTTCCCTGCTGACTTAGTCAAGGTAGACTCCAAACCCTCCTCCTACCCAACCCCCTCGAACAATTTAGGATTGAAGTCATAATCATTGTGAATAGCAGTACAGCATGCTGTTAGTGGATGATTCTATTATTTTCAAGGGGTGTTTTAAGAGAACACTGACAGTAGTAATAGTAGTCATGAGCTTGTGTTATTTCCATTCGTTTGCCAACAGACTGCCAACATCATTAGTGTAATCTAGCACATTTCCTGTATTTGTAATTTTTTTAAAGCCAAATAAAAGTTGACTGTATCACCGTATCAACAACACCCGTTAGAGCCGTGATTGACGATCACATTCAACAGCTCTTTGACGCCCTCCTCAACTCCCTGCGAAGATCCATCAGCAATCATGTGAACGAAATTGACAAGTTTGTGACAGAAGCGATAGAGTCGCTCTCAACACGGCCACAGACTGTGCAGGAAATAGGCCAGGCTAACGCCAGACACACAGAGCTTGCTGCGAAAAAACCGTCTGTAAGTAGTTATGTTTTGACGCTTGATTAATAAAATTTTATTGGTTCACACTTTTTACACTTTATCATCTGAGGTGAATGTCCTTAGTAGTAGTGGTTTTTCCACTGCAGTACTATTTTTATTTAGGGAGCCTGGACAGTAATTTGGGAGCTTTTGATTTGTGCGACAACTTAGAATCCAGGCGAAAACAAGAACATCAATGTTCGCAGATGAATTCTTAGTGATGTCATTACGTTTTAGGTTCTACCGTCGTCAAGTAATAGAAAAGGTCCTTATTATGAAGAGCACCGAGTCTCTGAGTTCATGACACAGTTTTTAAATTGAATAGTAATAATAACAACAGTTATTAAGATAAAATAAACAAATCAGCAATCTATGAATGAGGTACCTACTTGAATTTATAGCAACCCTTTTATTGTTTTTTGTCATTACAGATACAGCCGCAATTTGATATTGCTGAGACTAAGAACCGTTTGCTGAGGTCAGTAGCTGGTGGCGGTGTTGAGCAGCTGGGTCAACTGAAGGCTAAATGGGACAAGTTTGAGTTGATGATGGAGAGTCATCAGTTAATGGTTAAAGAACAGGTGAGAGGTATATTCCAATAGCCAAGGCTAGCTCATACAGCTAGAAGTGGTTTGGTGCAGTGGGAACAGTTTGGTTTCCTAACCTTGAGATCAGGGTTTTACTGCATTGGTTCTTTCCACTGACGAGTATAAATGGGTACCTGGTGGGGTTGCCTGCTCCTGCGGTGATTCAGAGGCAACTCTTAAGCATGTGGACTCAATGACCAGGGACAGAAACGCTTTGGCAAAGAAAATTGCTATATAAATAACCAAATAAGTAAATAAATACGGCCTGGTAAATTAATGTCGATAACATTACAAAATCTTTGTTTCCTTTTAATATAAATTTATTGTCTTTTTTTTTATTAATGTATTTATTATTGTTATCAATATTTATTATCATTAATATATTTTAAATAATATTATTATTGTTTTATTTGTTATTATTAAAATCCATTATTGTCATCATTTTTATTTTCATTATACTTATTAAATCTTCATTATTGAATTCTACAGGTTTCTGTTATGAAAAACAATGTGCAATCTCGAGTCCAAGCATTCTCTTCTGAACTTGAAAAGTTCTCTGCCAGATGGCACCAGTTTAAACCCAATGAGGACGTCCTTGAGAAAAACGATGTGGAAGCTTGTAGGAAAGCAGTTGAAGTTGTGAAAGAAAAACGAGCTGAATTTGATGAGCTGGAAAAAACTAGAGAAAATCTTGTGTATGTTGAATATAAATAATTTGGTGATGATGTGGGGATTATTATGGTAGCGACGATGACGATGGTAATGTATTGCTGATGGTAATGAAGTCATACTGGTGATAGACTGGTAATAGAATGATGGTTATATTAATGGTGATGTGTTTGTGGTAGTGGTGATGTAAGAGTGATATTGGTGTTGTCAGTGATGTTTGCGGTGATGGTGGTTGTGGTGATAGTAGTAGTGATAGTGGTGGTGAGAGTGGTGGTAGCCAA